TCCTCACTAATCAGCAGGTTCTGAAACAAATCTTCCAGATCATTCGTGTTTCCCTCCCCTGGCTCGTTGCCCTCCGCAGGCTCCGGGGGAGGTGGGTCATCAAACCACCGTAGACCACGTGTAATCAGGTCTTGAATAGTTCTCGTCCGATCTTCTATTCCTTCGATCTCCTTGTGCATCATAAGCTCTCGGGAAATCCGCATCGCCTTGTCAAGTTCATCTTTGGCTAACAAAACAAGAACAATTGTTTGACTGATTCAGCACTTTTCATACGTGTGCTATTTTTAAAAGCCAAAACTGATTCATAGCGAAAAATACTCATTGAGATTAATAAAATGTAAAGCTTTCAGTATGAGCGTACAAATATCTGGCAAAACGCTTTTCGGCTGTCAATTAATTGTTATACAAATTTACGACATATTTCCCCCGAGCAAGTGTTGTTTAACTTTACCGCTAAGTGTGATAGAGCGACTGCTTGACCTTCAAATGATTACGAGCAAAACCGTGACAACAGATGCAGTGCCGGTTTCATGTAGCGAACCTTGCGGATTTTGATTGGTTTAGCGATCATGCTATACGCTGGATCTGGTACGTGAGCACTTTCTCTCTAAAATTCAATCGATAAAAAGGTAATTTTTTGATGCTGTCACAATCGTAATCAGGCCGAAAAAAATGGCCCAACTCCCACGAGTCTCAGGTAGCTTTGCGATAGAGCATTCGACAGCTATTATTTAGTTTTGACTTCTGTCCGAATTTTTTAGAAGTATGCGTTTGATAGTATAGGAAAATTACATCTTCATTTATTTCCATGCTTAAAAAATTCACCATCTCGTCATTTCACTCTAAAATAGATCGATATTTCACTTTAGACCATACGATTGGAAAAAAAAGGAATCTCTGCAAGTTTCAAATGAGACCTGAGTTCGATTCTATGGCAATAAACTGCTCTGAACTTTTAGACTAGTGGTGGATAAAACAAATTGCGGACACTTGCGGAAGGCGTTTTTCAAGCGGTTTAATTATAGCTGTGCAATTCTTGTTTCCATCCAACAAAATACTCGTCAAAACACTCCAAAAGTAAGACAACAGTTTACTTTCTTTTGACAGAAACTAAAACCCAGATTACCTCTTTGGAAATCTAGTTTCCTGTCTCCCTCCGATATGCCTAACCCTCTCCTAGTCGCCCTACGGATGAAGTAGTCTGCCTTCCCGATTAGGAACGTGGCTTCCAATCTCTTGGGACATTGAGTAAGTAGATTTCTCTCTACTTTCTGGATAGCAGTGCCCGCCTTGACAATGTCAACTTCAGAGACCTCTTTACTGTTAGGAAGAACAAGAATAGTTTTGCATTGAATGTCTTTCCTCTGCAATTGAGGGTTGTGCTATTCTAATTAAATTGCAAGCCAGTAAATGCAAGGCGAGAGCTATGCCAGCGGGAGAGGAAGCTCCTAGCGGGGTCACCCATGCTGGGCAGATGAAAAGGTAGAGACAAGACCAACACCCCTATCTAAGAAACGATTTGCGTTACAGAAGCATTGACAACAATCCAAACTCAAGCCGTCCTGCCGGCGAGAGGAAGGGTCTCCAGCAGACAGACGGTTTATGACACATTGCAGTGAAAACCAAAAGGAAGCTGTACTGCCGAGTCCCATTCTAACTCCCAGGGGAGAAGAGTGCAGGCGCCAGTGGAGAAACAGATCCTGAGGCATAAGTGAGGATGGATCGGCCAAACCCAGAAGAAACCGACATCCAGTACCACATGTCAGGCCCTGACCTGGAACCCCCAGGGTAAGCTCGGAAGAGAGGACACCCCCAAAAAAGCTGGAGGGCAGACCCTAAAGTAGAGCTTAAGAAGCAGGGACTTAGCTAGAGTGAGGCAGGAAGGACAGCCCAGAGTCGAGTCCGATAGAGGAGCTCGTAAATGGCCTAAGTTCCACTGGGTGCTAAGGGCTACTGTTATGGAGAGCAATTGTAAATTCTAGGTTTCTGGTAATTTCTAGTCACGCAATGTTTTACCAGAACCTTCTACTATCACACTGTGGAACAATTTAGAACATTCTACTAGATGAAGTAATTACGATGTAATGCTTCATAAATAGCTGTGTTAGAAGCTCCGAGAAGGTCCTAGAATATTCATCAATTGTATACAGGTAGATAGCGGTTGTTGTTGCTGTTGTCGTTGTTGTCAGCAGAGACCGACTGGAGAAGCTATACCAAGAGAATCGCTATTGGGGAACTTCACTGTCAAGCTAAGGGGATCGAGACAAGATTTCTTCGAAGAAAGCGACATTTATTGTGGTTTTGTGTCAGTGGTGACTGAAGTTTTAGCAGTAGGCTTAAGTTAGTTTGATAGCAGATTGTATTGTTTAGAAATCACTCCTTTGTAACTAGGATTTTATTACGTATCGTTAAATAAATGAATTGGATTTATAAAAGATCGGTGAGTTTCGCTGCGTATCTTTTCTGTCGGTTGAGTGATGCCGTAACACTATATTACATATATAGCGAGAATTCTAGGCAATAAACTTTGCAAATAGAATTCTATGTGCTATATTTTCACATGTGAAAAAAGCGATAGGTCCAATCATCTTCGCATATAGCGTTCTTCACATGGGAAAAATATAACCAATCACCGTCCAGAGCAGAATCACTTAGCCAATCAGAGTTAAGCACTCAAATGGCTTCCGAGAAGTGCGGTCTTGAAATCAGCGCCCGCTTGAAGTATGTGTTTCGAAAACACAGTTTTGGTTTCCCGTTTTAGTTCACTTTCGGAAAAACAGCAGCGGAATATATCCAACATCTTGAGCGCTAGAACTTCAGTTTGAGAATCGATGGCCATTCAAGAAACCGAGGAAGTAAATTTAGCATTAGAAAGTCAACAACATTTCAGGAATAACATTCAAATTTGAACAGTATAAGTCAACAGAGTCCGAATTTGTCTTTGCACAGCGCGAAGCGCCGCCATTGTGTGATTGAATCTGAAAGTGATTAGGGACAAGCGAAAAGATTTCACACTATGTATTTACGAATTCTCCCATATTATATTTAAGCTTGTGTAGGTTCTTTTTCCGCCTGTTGCTGGACTAGAAAGCGGATTTGTTTTTCATTACGCTGGGCATTTAGATCAGTCTTGAATTTTTTGTTTTTCTGTATGTAAACTTATGGTATTGGGAAAACTTAAGCTGATTTAAAGGATATGTTTAATTCTCGTTATATATACGACAAACAAATTACAGCATAGAAAGTGCTTTGTACAGAGTTTTATTCACTAGTTGCAAAACTTTGAAAAACCGAACGAGTGAGCGCAGCGAACGAGTGAATTTTCCAAAGTTTTCCAACTCGTGAATAAAAATCCGCACGTCGCACTTCTATGAAATAATCTATATTGATGAAACGCAAGGCCTAATCCTGGGCGCGCTATTTACTCTTCAACACATTGCAACACTTTCCAAATATGGTCATGCAGATTTAGTATTCGTGGTTCGTACAGACCTGATTTCCTGTGTTAGTACAATTTTCAGGAGTATTATTGTCACCGCCGCCAGCGTTGATTATAAGAATTAATTTCAAGGCTACTAAGCAGAAGGCACATTTGTCTTTTTGGCAGGTAATATGGCAGACAGTTCTTTTGATAACATTTTGCCCTTTTTGAAAACCTTAATCCAAGCTGAAGCTAATTAGAACAATATGAATTCAGCAAGATGACCAACGAGATGTTTGAGACAAAAATACTGGAAACAAATAGGCAACTTTGAGAAAGTTGTTGCTGCAGGGTTCTGGAACAAATACAGAGATGACAGCAGCTCATTATGGTATGGAGCATTTTGACACAGTTGCGAAGAAATTTAATCAGGTCATACACGCATAAGATTTAAATTAAGCTAGTCCTGACCATTCATAGCTTAATAGTACGATAGTGGATGACCTTTGAAGCAACTCTCTGGTTGCTATTTCTATATTCATCTTTGTACATACCCTAAATCAGGAAATCTCGTGCGGGATGTCTTTAAAAAATACGTGGTCATTCTATTGTGGCTCCTGATGACGTATCTCATCATGCTCTCGTTTTCTTTCAGCTGTGACCAAAATCCCGCAACTTCCTCAAAAAGTCGCTGGGCATTTATTTCTTCGTCGGCTGTTATGCCAACATCAGCTGATTTTTCGGCCAAAAGGGCTGCAGCATTGTACCTGTTTACTGCGGTTTCTTCACTCAGAACAACGAGCTCCAGACACTGAAACCAAAATATGAGTGTTATTGGTGCCATATTTCAGCCATTTGTCACGCGTCAATCTACAAAGGTTTTTGCCGTCTGAACTCAGAAAAAAGAAAGAGAGGGGCTGCTTAAAAAATGACGCAAAAATTTTCTTTTGTAAAATTGTCACGGAGACTGGGTACGGGAACCCGGCTTGTGACGTCAGACTACATGATTCCTGTGCTACCTTTGAGTTGTTTGAGTCAAAAGCCTCATATTTTTTACTTCAGTAATTACAGCCACACTACATTGTCCTCCTTTCTTCGTAGGTTTTTGTCTTGCTTTCAGCCGTGATTTCTTGCGGATCTTTCGAAAATTTTAGACACTTGGTCTAATAAGCTCAGAATAGTTTTTCATGCGTATCAAGGAAACAAAAGCACAAAAGAAAGATTGAGTGTTTCACAAATTTGTCCTCATTTTGTCTTTTACTGACTTGCCCTTGCATGGAGATTTCAAACCCGCCGAATTAAAGAGGCCTAGCCTGGTAACCAACTTCAATAATTGTTCCTTATTTGTAACTCTCGTTCTTGAGTTATATTGGTCTTAAACCAACTGTGTCAGTCTTCATCAGTTTTTTAGGGAGTCGCCCATGTATTATATGGGTAAATACCTCAGAGGACTTCTCTATATACTCTTTGGCCAAGTCAAATTCCTTGGTTTGTCGGTACAAAGCAGAGATGATGTAAAATGCTCTCGTAAGAAGGAACGGCCAGTTGCCCGAGTTCAGACGAGATGCGCGTTCACAGACATCTCTACAGGTAGCCAAGCAATCCTCTTTTCTGTCTTGTGTGTAGTAAAGTGCTGCTTCCTTCAAAAGAAAAATCAAATTAAAGGAACAATGCGCGGTACAATAGGTGATGAGTTTAAGTTAAATGTAAAGAGTCATTATCGAATGGGATCTGAATGAAATGATTTCACGAGCTTGCGCTACTTGAATAGCGATTATGGGATTGTTTTAGACTGGACGCTCATTGGGAAGTAAACAAACATGTACGGCGAAAGATTTTGCTTTTTAGGGATTCTTCGACAAGTTACACCCGAGAACCCTCTGAAATCATTCGTGCACAAGGTCATCCAAAAGCTTACAGTTTTTGTTTCGGCGTTTTCATACTTTGTATCCGCTCACACAGCCCCATGATCATTATTTATTCAAAACTGAACAGCATTTTTATTGGCTAGCCGGATACAGGCTACTAGCTCATACACCTGCTGCGAGAAATATGGTCAATGAATGCGTCAGCAAATAAAGAAAGCTCAATAAAATTTTCCTGCGAAACCGGCAGCCGTTAAAAAGTCGTATGCGGGGAATTAACGAGTAGTAGAAATTTCGACACTGAAACCGAAATACAGATGAAATTCAACTTTTCATTGCTGGGTGTTTTTGAAAGACAAAGACCAGAGCTGGCGCATCATGTTAAAAAAAAAATCTTCCTGCCCTGAGAAAAATTTCCGAGTTGTTCTCCTCACTGAAATGCCCCAGGAGTTTATGAAGTTAACTAAACGAAATGGAAAAATGTATTCAACAACAAGTGTCAGAAGTCTGTAAATATGCCCCCATGGGGCGGTCAATCAAAAACAAACTAAACAATCACTACTTCAGCTTAAGTTTACAGCAGCATTCATTATTGAAAATCCTTCGAAGGACCGTCACTGTTTTAAAACTAATTAGAAATTGACACACGTTGCAAATCTCCTTTTACCTGCACTCCAAGCAACGTATCAATCACTAACTTCAAACTTTCAACTCTCACACCGGGTAATTATGTATGCAGTGAGAATAGTTGGGGGTTTCAGCCAATTTTCAGTGCCAGTTTGCGGGTAAATTCACATTGATCAGGGCCGGGTTGTTCAAAGCCCGATTAAGCAAACCCAGGATTAGCGAGAATTTGAATTTGAGTTTTGTAACTTTTCGGTGAGGTTTTATGTTTATACTGTTTGTCCTTCAGTTTTGAGTTTGACTAAGCTCAAACTACACAAAACGTAAGCAGTAAAAAACATTTTTATGCAAGAAAAATAAATACTTCGGTTAACTTTTAATCCCGGGTTAGCGTTAATCGGCTTTCGAACAACCAGGCCCTGGTGGTTTACTGTGAAGGGAGTGTAGCAAGTTCACGAAGCAGAACAAGAAGATAATAGTTTCATTTTAATTGAAATCCATATCACTAATAGCTTATTTCAGTATTTATTATTAATAAAGTAAAACCATATACCAACTCTACTCAAACTTGTCCCATAATGATAATAATGATCTGCCTGAAGTATTGCAGTACTGTGTCGCTGATATATATGCTGACGACACTACAATCAGCACTACAATCAGCAATGGTAAAGGGTAAAGTCTGCATACGAGCCAAGTGGCCCACCAGGCCGGAGCGTATCCCGGTTTCTGTAGCATGAAGCGACTAGGAGTATTTCTACTCCCCCCTGGATGGGATGCTAGTCCATCGCAGGGTTACCCCCAG